GTCGTATGTATGAATCATACCCACGGTCTGATATCCTACGGACAACATACTCTTCTGATTGCAGGTTCTTTTTTGAGACTAGATATTGAAATCACTGAAGTTAGTCATCCAGCTGGTTCTTCACAAAGAGCAAGGTATCCACCTCCACCTTTCCCTCATAGTGAAAATTGTACATTTTATGTCACTACCCTCAATATTCATGGGGGTGCAGTTCCTGGCAAGGAAGAAATCTGCAAACCTAGCTCATTTTTTGCATACACTGTGGTCCCTACCGTAGTGAGTACTGGTGTGTATGGCCAATATTTTTTTCCATTGAGCCAGTTTCAAACCCTCATTTTTTACAATTATTTAGGTCTCTGACATGTGCTTGACTGCACAAAATTGGATTACAGTAGAAGTACGTACCACCAGTGTGAAGTGTGGTGATAGTACAATAATACCATCAGTACCTTGCCTATGGTACCTACTGCAGACCAGCAGGGGTCATGAACTGCAGACCAAGGGTCATAAATTCAAAAGGGAGTGCATCACCTCAAAAACTCATATTCCATCCTCGGTCTCCCCAAATTAAAAAATCAGCTTCAGGATTTTTATATCTCATTTTTACTGCATAATAATACTAGTACTAGTAAAACTATCCAACCTTTGAATAAAAATAACTTCATTTCCAAAAATAGTACTAATAATATAACAACTATTGACTACTCAAGAATATACTAGAAAGAAAGCAGGGCAAGGAGAGGTGTACTTGAATCAATTAGTAGTAGTACTAGGAACAACAAGCAACAATGTATTCTTCTTTCATAAGAAAAAGGTTTGCTAGTACTAGTACTAGTACTAGAAGTAGTACTATTGCTGATAGGAATGGGTTTCAAACACCTTTCCTGATTTCTTAGCTTTTATGCCATTGCATTCAATTGAAGAAGACACAAAAAAATCAAGAAGGATGTGGGGCTGCTGTCTAAAGACCACATATCATACTAGTAGTACCATGTTTTCATCATACTACTAATTGACACTGCTCATAGATATTATACTTTACAGGTACTACTAGTAGTGGGAAGCAGCTCAGTGAATAAGATTCACAACAAAGTTGTGATGAGTTCTTTGTATGCTGCTAAACTACAAGATATGATTCAAGCAACCAGTCCCTAAGAAAAAAATGTTTTTGACGGACAATGGGATTGTGTTGGTTCTTGTTTTGACAATTAAGAAGTACAAAATACTTTGTACTTTACATGATAGTGGCTTGAATTCCTTGTAGGTGAATTCTCTCTATGTTTAGACATTGATAGCTTCCATTGTGCACAACTGATGCGATCGAATAAGATCTAAGTATCTGAGAAATACACTTTTCAGATACATTGAATACCAAAGCGAATGCGGTAGGACATAATCATATGCAAAAAAGCAACCGACGCATTTTTTTCCCTGCCAATTTTCTTGCAAAGTTGGTAAGCCGGAACTGCTGGGTGCATCTGTCGGCTTTGAACACACCTTCTCCCAAAGGGATCGTATCTGAAATGCGCCGACCAAAATCAAATGAAAACAACTAGTACGAGTTCGTCATCGAAATTACTGCTTGTGCTTCTACTTTAGGGCAAGAAAGCAAAAAAGTAAGAAAGCGAGAACGTTTGGCACCACCATTGTTCCGCATGTGTTTGACGGCGAACCCGATGTCGTCCCGTCTGGGTTTCTTCCGAGCCAATTGTTTTCGGTGTCGCGAATGGCGTCTTGCAATTCGAAAAAGTTGAGGCTGCTCATGGGGCCAACGTATTGCCAGTCCAAGAAAATTTTGCTTGTTTCGTCTTCGGTTGCGACGGTGGGCATAACCAACAACGTCGTGCGGTTCGCACCGCTTTCGGTGTCATGCTCTTGAAAAGATCCGGGCGCGGAACTCTTGTTAGTACCATAGGTGTCTTGGTAGGCAAAGTCCCCGTTGTAAGAAATCCCTGCAATGGGACGATCTTTCCCGTCACCGCCGACACAGTACAAAAACACCTGGTCGCCGTCCAATCCCAAATCGAAGTAGTGTGTTTCGTTGCCACCAACCTCCGCCTGTGTTCCATCTACGTCCTCATCCATCCATTCCTCTGCGTATTTATAAATCTGGGTATTGTTCCCAATTCCGAAAGCAACACCAGACGGCACACCTTGTGGCGGAGTCGTAAACTTGAGGATGCCCTCTTTCCCAACGAAATTGGGAACAAATCCTTCGTCTGTCCAGGCTCGGTCTGTCAAGTACAAATCGAGTCCTCCCGGAATATCCTGAAATCCAAACATCAAAACCTCACCGCGTCGTTGTGTGGTGCTGTTAGTGAGATCATCGAGTACGGTAGGCCATGCATTGATACCGATGAAATAGAAGGATCCAATCAATAGACTGTCGCAGGCTTCGCCCATTGTTGTTGCCATCTTGTTAACGTGGTTTTGTGCGACGAAGCTCTCTTGATGGCAGAATCGTTTGCGCTTTATGCCTTTGTCTTGGGGAGGCGATGATTGCCTTGGAGAAGAGGATGAGGAACAAGGAAAGGACTAACAAGAACATTACTGCGCAAAAAAACAAAGTATCGGTACAGTTAAAGGTGAGAAAAGATCCTAGTAGAAGTTGTGACATTTTGATGTCACATGTTTCAAGCTGGAGAACAGAAAGCAATGACTTTTTTTAAGAAGGAAAAATATGCCAAACAGCTTGCTAGATGACCATTTTTTGGTCATTTGTTGTCTTAACTGAAGTGATACCCGGTAAGGCAGGTGCTATGTCAGTCCTTTTGTATGGTCACATTACGCGCGGAAGGATCAAGTTGGAAGTATTCCGGTGAATGACAGACGTTCGGACCACTTTTAGTTTTCGTAGGAAAAAAATTCTAATAATAATCGTGGTTCAATTCAAGAAGATTCTCATCAACAACATCATCATCAGTCAGAGAAAAAAATAATGCAACAACGACATCACTAGCCTTGCTACATAATTCTACGGTGCAGTCAGGTACTGGTACTACCGTCATTTCGAATCATTTGAAGCAAAGGCGTCTCGTAACTGTCATTAAACAACACCCTTTCAAAGTATAAAAGTATATACTCATATCATGCCGATAATACAACAAATAACTTCTGCTGCAATGGCACTCTTCGTGGTGGCTTTGTGTTTCCAACAGGTCGAAGAGGTTTCCGCCTTTTCGTCCACAGGAATCCCACTTTCGTACGGATCAGCAACATCGAGAAGAATGTCGACATCGGGACGAGCCTCCCCGCTCTCCATGTCTTCGGTAGCAATGCTTCCAGAGGGTTTGGCAAAGACGGTCGTGAATGGCGGGGAGATGGGCGCTTCTCCGATCGGCCGGGGCGACATTCTCACCGTAAAATACACGTGTTATTCGGTCGGTTTGGGAGACCAGGACGAAAACGAGGCCGAAAATGTGCTCTTGGCACGATCCGATTCTCAAAAGGTGGTGCGTATGAACGGTGCATCAAAGATTATATGCTCAGATGCGGAACTCTACATAAAACAGAGCGATTGAAGAAGGATGGGACTGCGCATGCGGTTTTGGGAATACGTTTTTTCTATCCATTTCAAATCGAACCGGAAAGTATTGTCTTAATTTTAGCTTTTCGTTCTCGGCCCTGTCGTATCTCATACGCAAACCTTCTATTTTCTTTCTTGAACCGAATGCATGCTACATACTTCACTTTAAACATACTACACGACAACAACAACATTGCGTTACCAGGTCGTTGGAGACGGATCGATGGTACCAGGATGGGACGCCGCTCTTCGGAGCATGACCGTCGGCGAACGAGCCGTGGTTCGGATCACTGACCCCTCACTGGGTTACGGCGGTGCGAACAGCGACAAGAGGGGAGCGGCCGCGCTTGCCGCACTCTTGGGCGTGGATCCCGCCCAAGCTTCCACTGCACTCCTCGAGTTTGACATCCAGGTTCTGGCAGCCCAGTCGGCGGCTTCGGCCGCCCAGGTATTCGACATGAATTTCGACGCCATGGCCCTCGAGGACGACACGCCCAAGACGGCAGAAGAAATTGCCGCCGCCTACCAGGTGAGAATGGCCAACAAGGCACCGGAAAAAGAAGGCCTCGAAGGGTGGATCGACACGGTTAAGAACTATTATTTTTTCGGGTTCTTCGAGGGAGAGACCGGGGAGGAGGCCCCCTGGTACCTCAAACCGTCCATCACCTTTCCGATTGCCTTTGCGATTGTTGGGGCTGCCTTTTACGTTTCGCTGCTTTCGGGAGCCATTAGTGAAAAGGGTGCCCAGAGCGTCGACGAACTCGATGTTATTGTCACTACGACGATGATGACCCTTCTTTCGGGGGTTCCGTCCTTTTAACTAAAGAACAAACATTTCCTCTCGAACAAATCTCTCGAAACCCCCAACGAGATGGGTGTTTTCATTGATGCGGGACTTAGCTTGCAATTGGATTTCTGAGTTTCCTTGCATTTATGAAGTAAATCATAGCACTACTTTGCTTTTCTATTTCAAAGAGCTCACCGTTTATTCTTGATAGGTGGTTTCATCGACGCCAACGCCAAGGACGGAGTTTTGCTGTGGAAAATGATTGGCGACGGACATTGCTTTGTCGGCCGAGACTTTGTTTCATTACAAATGTATGTAGGTCTTTCTTTGCCTAGCAATTTCATCCAGAGGACTTCCATGAACGCATATATCCATTTCACGGATATAGTCAGACTAGAAAAGGTCAGAGTCAACCGACGACGTCGGTGATGCTGCCCTCTTCAAAAGCCATATGCGTTCGCTAACGCACACGATAACCTTTGCAGACCCGTTTCCAACAGTCACTCGTTGAAGAAATCCCCCTTCATTTGTGAGTGCAACTTATGCCAATCTGATGTTTGGTCGATGTTGAGTATTATCTTTTCGTGAATCTCTTCGTCTGTGCGCCAACTTTGGATCGGGTCAATCGAGAAGGCACGTTCCAACCCTAGGACGACGACGAACACACCGATGCCTTTTCCCAGCACCCTCTGTATCCTACACAAGTACGGATCAAAACAGCGGTACCGAGCACGTATGGAAAACATGTCGCATCTATCACGTTGCTTGTTGTTACTGAGTTCTAGGCTCATGGTACGATGCTATGACATACKATACGATACGGTACTATACAATGCGATACAATGTAATGCGATATGATATGATATAATATGACACGACAAGGCAGGACATAACACAAGACATTGTTCTGCAGGACCCCAGCAAACGACGGACAGGGCAACATTCCAACAAATTTGTTTCGGTACAACATTTTACAGTAGTTGTTGTACAAATTTTACAATAATATATTTTTTTATACTAATGTAGGCCCAATGCTGAACAAACTCAACAAAGAGATGGAAAAGCATGGATCCAGCCCATATATCACGCTAAAGCATCTCGAATCGACGACAGTACAGTAATTGATTCACAATAGTGTAGATTTTTCATTAGTCGTGTGCTCTGAAAGGAACAACGTACCAAAGACTTGCAGAAGGAGGCTGGTGACATAGTATGGTATTTTTAACGCTAATGTTGAAGCAGATTGTGTATCGATTGAAAATTGATGTATCGATAGGATTTTTTAATTCGATTTGGTTCGGCGACTATGATTGATTCTTCATTTTGTTTGCATTAAAATCGTATTTGTGTGCTGCGCATTGATTGGAGACAAACCCTTCTGCATTTGATAACAAGTTTGTCGAGCAGAAAAAAATCGTCAGATGGCGCGAGGGAAAATGATATTAATTCCATCGTCACAAGAAACAAACTGATTGGTACGATACCACTGCCGAGGCAGTTCGAACGCAAAGCATGAAAGATATTGAACATCTGTTGAAGTTTCTTTGAAGAAGAAAAAGATTGTATCATTACTTGGTCATGCCTCAATAAATTAAGGAGTTCGAATGGTCTTGCGTGATGTATTTATGTTCAACTTCAATCCCTAGTTTTTTGCAATTATGCATTTTGGATCGTGAGCAATGCGATACGTGATGGTAGGGACAAATGATGGTGACCAAGAGGTCATGCCCTTGGATCCTTACAGCTCGTCGTCCGTAATAAGGGAAGCGAACCGATCCTTGAAGATAGGAAAGTTCAATTTGTGAGAATTCATCGTGTGATTAGTTTTGTCAATTCGAAATGTCAAACACTCGAACAAGATAACATTATGTCATCGTCAACATCGTCCACGACTAGAATCAGGAAATTATGAGAACCATACGTACCGGTACCTAGGGTAGGGTAAACTCATGGGGAGGGTACGGGTTCGGTTCGCACCGAAAAGCTTATCATGCGCGAAGGGTGGGGCACTGGCCTCTGTAATTTAAAAAAAGAAGAATCATACAGCGTACACGTAGGAAAAAAGTACCGGTATCCATCCGTAAATTTTCAAACGGTCAGATTGTATTGTGCGCACTGACAATGGTGATGGTTCTGTGTATGAATAGAATTCCTGGGATTTTCAAATTCGTTTCATTACTTAGCGTTTCAACGAAATACAGCAATTAGTACTACAGATAACATTATTTCGACAGAGGGATAAATGCATTTCTCAAAATCCTAGAGAATCCATAGAAAATGGAACATCCATGATTAATCCTTAGTTTTATTAGCGTAGCATAATAATTAAGCTGACATCTTCCCTAAGTTGTCAGCAAGAAATTTGATACAACGTCATTTCTGCATGCATGTTCAACTTAATGTGTTGTCAACAGACTCTTGATGTACTTCGTATATGGAAAAAGAGTTTTTCATACCCCTTGGAGACGTCATTTCTCCTCGGAACTCTAATCTACGAAGAACTATTTTGTAGCGCATCATTGATGAGCATATCAAAAAAGAAGGTTCTCTTTGGAACATTCGAGAAAGGTTTGTTGAATCGTCAATCCTAATCCGTCATCAATTTTACCGTCCCTACAAGACCTACAAATTGAGACTTAAGGAAACCTTTTGCACAATCCTGTTTACTTAGGCCAGGGACAAAATCATTATTTAGGAGCAATTAAAATGAAGAATTAATGTTTGAATCTGGCCTTCGGATCGCTTTTTTGATTCGTTGGCTGACAAAGTTATAGCGACTTTTGGAGCCATCAGGTTGAAAGAGAACCCATTGGGCCTGTGGGTTCTATTGTGATGTTTCATCGTAGAATCGTACTGTAATGGACTTACAGATCTGTTCGCAACGAAAACTCACGGACAGAAATAGAAATAATATTGATTCGGCGGTTCGTAATGTGTAAACCTCTACCATTGGAGAATATCCTGATAAAGGGCAATATAAAAAATGAGTTGAAGTCATGAAACTTATGTCGGAATTCTCAGGTGTCCAACTGACTTATCCAACTGACTTACGAGTACGATGATATTATTTTTCTACCATCACAACTTCTGGGTCTGCGATCACATACGCGATGCCAGTATAGATTTTGAGGGGTATTTCTCTATTGCTCCGATAAAGTGTATTGGGACATCATTTTGATAACGAGTGCACACCGTCGTAGGGTCATTGGAGAACCTGAATCGCTTTTGATGTTCATAATAGTGGTTCTTGTCGCTCAGAGCAACCAAACTTTGCGAACTCTACATCAAGTTATTTAATGGGCTCTTGTTCAGGAGACATCGAACCGGCCCATCATTTTATTATCTGGACGAAGCGCCCCTGTGATTATCACACAATCAAAATTATATACCCAAAATCAGAGGATCTCTTCTTGCGCATATTGTCACTCGCGTCCGTTGTACTCATAATTTCAAAACATACATGCTATCGATTCATATCACATCATAGCAACAAAACGGAAACAGACACCATATTCACAATGAATAACTTCTCAGTAATCTTGTTCGCTATCATCTTGATAGCAGTATCTTCCGAGACTCTCAGGGGATCTGAAGTGAATATCGAATCGGATTCTCAAGACAAACTACCAAGAAGTCGTCATCGGCGGCAATTGAAACCAGGAATAACATGTCTGTTGTACCTAGAGGAAATCGAGTTCCAAACTGAACGCGAATCTGTGGAAGAATGGGTTTGCATGTTGCCAGAAGAAGAAGCCTCAGCACTCGGTATGCAATTTGTCGAAATTGATAAATCTACTTCTATCATCAAAGGTGCGAAGTCCGGTCAATCGACCATTACTCTGAATAGCGCTGTCATTGACACTGAAGAGGCAAAAATGTACATTCCCATGGATGGACATGTAGAAGTTCGCAACCTTTCCCACGATGATCCAAGAGCACGAAGGAACCTGGCAGCCAAGACTGGAACACTCACAGCTCTTGTGATTCGCGTCGCTGACTCAAAAGGCGTCGCACCGGGTGCGAGCGTTGCTCAATTGGAAAATGATGTCTTTGATGATCTCAGCTGCCTCAAATCACAAATGGAGGCCTGCTCCTATGGAAAGCTCAAGATCGAACCCTTTGTGGGGATTACAGAAACTGACGTGGAGGTCAAACACGGGGTTGTTGACGTCCAGATGCCCGATTATGATGTAGTTGCCAATGGCAAACGGGGTGGTCTGCAACAAGCTGCAATGGCTGCTGCCACAGAGCAACTCGGAAACTTGCAGAGCGACAGATATGATATCATTCTATTGGTTTTGCCACCAGGATCCGGCGATTGGACTGCATATGCATACAGCAATGGAAAGTGGTCTTTTTACAATGACATGTCCGCAAGTTCCGTGTCTGTACAAATGCACGAGGTCGGTCACAATCTTGGGCTTGCTCACTCGGGAGAAGACAACTTGGAATACCAAGACAAAACAGGCATGATGGGAATCTCTTTCTCCAGCGACGACCTCATGATGTGTTTCAATCCTGCCAAAAATTACCAACTTGGATGGTACTCAGACAAGGTTGAAACTATCAATCCTTTAAGTACTAGTGGAAGTGCTGTTCGTCGATTCACTCTGAATGGAGTCGCTGACTATAAAAACAATGACGACGGACTGATTGTTTTGAGATTGGAACAACTAGGACTTGAACAAGACTATTACATTGGCTACAATCGTCAGGTTGGCATCAACGAAGACACCGCCGAAGACAAAAACATGGTCACGATCGTTCGCAAGGAATTTGGAACACCAATGGAGTACGGTAAATCGATGAAAGTTGCAAAATTATTTTCGGGGCAATCTTTTACAATTGAAAACTTTAACAACGAAAGAAGTGTTGAAATCAAATTTGTTGGCCTTGCAAACACTGACGGAGATCCTTCTGACCCTATTCGAGATGCAATCATCGAAGTTATCGACGTTGATAATCGTCCAGTGGACGAGGACGACATCTTTGGCCCAAAAGTCGCATGTGCAAATTACACCTTTGAAATGACTACCGATAATTACCCTGGAGACAACAACTTTTTCATTGTTGCAGATAGTGCGGTTGGCGAAATCTTTGCCGAAGGCGTGCCTATGACGGAAAGTTTTACCACATACAGCACAGAAGTATGTCTTCCATACGATAAAAAATACAAGTTCGTTCTCTACGATCAATATGAGGATGGGATTTGCTGTGGACAAGGCAAGGGCTCTTACCGTGGACTCGATCCGAAAGGGAATATTATTTTTTCAAGTAGCGGAGTACCTGAAGGTTTTGACGTCAAAATTGAATACTTCGAAGTCGGCGTCAACCCATTTGTTGTCCCAACAGCACAGCAGACCCAGATACCAACGTTTTCTCCTACTGTTGCTCCGAATCCAAGCCCAACCGATGTTCCAACCAAAGTTCCAACCGGATCTCCTACAAAAGCTGCCACCAGTTCTCCAACTGTATCCCCAACAAAATCTGTCACCGGATCTCCCACTGGATCTCCAACAAAATATCCTACCGAACCACCTACTGGATCTCCAACAAAATAT